AAACAACATGCGTATTAATAAAGCATATAATATAAAAATATATTTTGCTAAATGCCTGAGATGCCACATGGCCTTTAAGTACGAGGAGAGAAGGAACAGAAGCCAACACCTAAACATGGGGTATAATACACTAGAAAACGTGCACTTGGGGAGGGCGGCATGGAACTAAACTAGATCCCTGCTACGGAAATGCCAAATAAATTCTAGATACAGTAAGGTATTAAGTACTTTTTAAAAATGGAAACATGAAAACACTACAGAATAATGTAAGGAGGATATTCAAATACTAATTTAATGCCTCCAAAAGACAAAAAGATGAAGTGAGTAGACATAATTTAAAATGTATGAATGAGATGTGGGCCATTTATATAAAGGAGTTTTTAAAAAAATCCTTAAGAGAATAAGATGAAAATACCAAATTCTAAAGGAAATGAAATTTTGCTATCTCCTAATGTGTCTAAATTTAAAAAATTAAACCAAAAGTGAATAAAGTTACCTAAGCTAACAGAACATAAATTACCATTAAATCAATCTAACATAATCTTATTTCTTTTTAAAACTTATCTATTTGAGAATTTCAAAAGTACTATATTTATATCATTTCCCCCCTTGTCCCTCTAATTCTCCCCATATTCCTGAATCATTTTCAATTTTATGGCCTCATTTTCTTTAATTATATTAACACACACACACACTTACATGTAAATACAACCTGCTAGTTCACTGAGTATTGTTCAGATACGTATATCTGTTTAATGCTGATCACTTAGGACTAGATAAAATACTGGCGTTCATCCCTGGAGAGCCATTAACTGCCTGCACCCACTGATCTGGGGTGAGGAGCTAAGAGATCCCCTCCACTTTGGCACAGCACAGGCAGCAACGATCACTCTCTGCAAAGCCTCTGCCCCTGTAAAAAGTGCTGTCTAAAGCCGCACAGCAGAAAACAGATAATTGAGTTAGAAAGAAGACTTCAGTCTGCAGCCTTTCTACTAGGAGCTCACATCACAGAGAACATGATGGCAAAATGGTGGGAATTTAGACTTCTGTCCCCTCAACTGTGCAGGTTTTCTCCTAAGACGACACCAGCAAAGACCAACTGCTAACATGAAGATTCATCTCCACAAAGTACTCTGTCCTCAACTGGAAAGTGTCAGTAAAGACCATGTGAATGCTGGGCTTAGATCCTTACCAGATGCTAATAAGCATCACACTCTCTCCCTGCTGGAGCAGGGTCACAGTGAAAGGCCTGCACCGTCACCGTTATTCTGCGAGGGTGAGGCCACAGTCAGTGTAGGCCACTGGAGCAATCTGAGCATGACCTGGTCCTCAGCAAAGACTAACAAGCCCTTCCAGCAACGGCAAAGGAGACCCCTCTGCCCCTGAAATAGTGAATGAGAATGCTTGCTGGAACATTGTATTTAAATGAGGACCCAGGTGGATCTCAGTAGTAAAATGCCAGCTAACGTTTAAGAAATGCTGAATTTGATCACAAGAACTGAGAATTAAAATAATTAATAATAATAACAACAACAACAACAACAACGACAATAATATAAAGCAGCATTGGTGGCAGAGACCTCTAATTCCAGTTCTTTGGGAAACAGATGCAGGAGGATCACAAGTTCAAGGCTGTCTGAGCTACAGAGTAAATTCAGGGCCCACATAAACAACTCAGTGAGCAACTAACAAGAAGCAAAAGGGTGAGAAGCATAACTCAGTGGTAGAGTATTTGTCTAGCCCCACCTTCAGTCTCTACCATGAAGTTAGGCAGATGTTAGACAGACAGACAGATTAGGTTACTGACAGATAGAAGTTAACTAGCTACCTAGTTAGATGGGGGGAGGCTGAATCTAGAGTCCAACAGCATTACTTTGGTGGTTTGAAAGAAAATGGCCCGCAAAGGGGTGGTACTATTAGGAGGTGTGGGCTTGTTGGAGGAAGTGTGTCACTGTGGGAGCAGGCTTTGCTGTTTCTTTAGCTAACTAGATCAATAGGTTGGTGAGCAAAATCAAGACAGAAAAGAACCCATGGTGTGACCAGTAAAAGAGGGGGTGATGGAGTACAGTAAAGGGGGTAAGGGGGTACAGTAAAGAGGGGGTGATGGAGTACAGTAAAGAGGGGGTGATGGGGTACAGTAAAGAGGGGGTGATGGG